ACATAAACAGAAAAGAATAGTGGAAGGATATGGTGGAGCCCATAGAACCAGTGCAAGTTTAGAACTACTGTCATGAAAGGAACAGAGTATTAGACATGGTGAATGGGTGTTTCCTTTGCCAAGGTAATGCTCCAGAAATAGCTTGGCTAAATCACTACCACCACCGTCACTGAATTTTAATGGACGTTCTTACTTACAACTTAATACAGTATATCTCATTTTGAGAGCATTATCTCCACAATTTCTGTTTCTGTTACATGTCAGTTTCCTGTAGAAGTGATACTGAGGAAAAGATTAGCAGGCAGGAAATTGATGAAAAATTTGTGTCAGTCAGATGTTTATCATTGTAATAAAATAAAATGTATCTCCACGGACTATTTATGAAGTAGAGTTTATTTGGTTGCCAATTTGGAAGGTTCAAGATTCAGTAGTACCTTTCACTTGGTCTCTGGTGGTGGTTAACAGCATATTATGAAAGGAGCATGTGTAGGAACAAATGATCCCATCTCATGCAGAGCAGAAAAGAGAGATGCTGTACTGTGTTCCATGATACCCTTTGAGGGACTGCCCTCAATGACCTAAAAATTGTCCATAGTTCCTACTTCCTAAAGGCCACAGCACCTCCCAGTACCACTACTCTGGGGATCAAGTATTTACATATGGACCTTTGGGGGATGCTCAACATCCTAGCCAAAGTGCTTTTGAAATTGCTACCAATGGATGACAAGGGACAGAAGAGGGGCCAAGTGACAGAAGTGGGCTGCTAGGCACTTTCATTAGAGGCCTCAGCTGAACTTATTGATAACTGTAAAGCTGAGATGACCAGAGTTTTCTGGAGTAAAGGTAAAGGATCTGGACTTTGCACTTGCACACTGAGTAGTAGTTGAATGAAGTCTACTCTGATAAGTGGGAGAGACCTTGGGCAGAGCCCCTGGCATTCGCCAAGCTAACATACAAGATTGGCAGCTGTGAGTTGCCTTGATGCACCAGTCTCTGCTACAGGAGGAAATGAGTTCTTCCTCCATGACAGGAGGTGCAAGGCACATCACAGAGTCCACTACAGTGTATCACCCCTCCCGATTCAAACGCTCAAGTGAGAACATCAAACTGGACACATTTAGACACCTTCCTTTATTCTATCTTTCCACTGTCCAGGAAATAAATTATATATGGTCTTTTAGAATCCTGTAGAAAGTGCTGGAACCCTGCATCCCAAGCACCAATTTCCTCAACCACAGAAAGGGAATCCACATGCTAGGAAGTCAACCACATTCCCAAATCAATGGACAAATATCAACTACATACTTCTTTCTTCTTGGCACATTGCAAGAATTCATTACACAGTACTGTATTTGACTAGCCCTCAGTTTACTGGTATGTATATTGTACCTTTAAATAGTGATATTGAGCCTTTTTATGTATTAGTGATTATTCTGCACAAATAATTTGTTCATTTTCCTATTGGAAGTTTATTTCAACTGGTCTGTAAGAATTTATTGTTTGTGTGTGTGTGCACGTGTGCGAGCATGTGTGTGAGTGTGTGTGTATGTGTGTGCGTGTGTGGTGCTTGGAATTGAGCCCAAGGCCTTGCCCACGGTAGTCAAACCATTGAGCCAAAATTTCAGCCCTAGCATTTGTATATTATTTTGGATTTATGCATATTTCCTATAATTTCTGCTTTGCATTATAAATTTTAAACTCTTTATATAGTGTATTTCATAAAGACCATTTCATCATATGTGGAGATACATTACTTCTTACTTTTTTATTCTATTTTTGTTGTACATCATTTTCTGTAGGAAGACCTCTACCACTCACAAATTATATGTGTGTGTGTGTGTGTGTTTGTAACTATTATACATTTTGTTCTTCTAATTTGGATGAATTTTTAAAAGAAGTATTTCATGTCAGTATTGTAGACTGTAGACACACCATAATACCTAACTTCAAAATATATTAAAAAGCTATAATACTCAAAATAGCACAGCATTGCCATAGATGTAGACACCTATATCAATGGAACAGAATAAAAAAGTCAGCGAGAAATCTGAGCTTTGACATTTAACTGATTTTCAACAGAGTTGCTACACATAACAGGGAAAAGACAGCCTCTTCAATAAGTGCTATTTACATGACTGGATAATCACATGCAGAAGAATAAAATTAGACCCAAGTCTCATCTCACACCACACTTAAAATCCAACTCAAAATTGGTTAAAGGTTTAATTGTAAGGCATGATGGTGTAAAAGTACTACAAAACAGTATATGCCATGACATTGGTCTGGACAATGATAGTTTCGACAAAAAACCAAAGGAATAGACACAATAGCAAAAATTGATTGGATTACTTCCAACTATAAAACTCCCACACATTCAAGTAAACAACACAGTAAAGAGACAACACACAGAATAAGAGAAAATATTTCCAAACCATGTCTAAAAATGGATTAATGTCCAAAATACATAGGGAATTTAAACATATGAATAGTAAGAAAACACAATCTAATGTAAAATGGGTGAAGGATCTGAGGAGACTTTTCTTAAAAGCAGACATAGAAATGGCCAACAAGTATGTGAAAAAATGCTGCACATCACTAACAACAGAGAAATGCAAATTAAAACTATAATTGAATATAACTGCATATATGTTAAAATGGATATTTTTAAAAGATGAAAGATAAATCTATTGTCAGCAATATGGAGAACAGGGAACCCTTGCTTACTATATATGAGAATATAATTGGCACCAGTGTAATGAAAAAATCCCAGAGTTTCCACAAAAATTAAAAAGAGCTACTGAGTGGCTACCTACATTTAGAGGGGAGGGATTGGAAGATGGTAGCAAGTGTTACCCCAGGGTAACTAAGGGTTTTCTTAGGGGGTAACAAAAATGATTTAAATTGATTGTGTTCGTGGTTGTACAACTTGGTTAAAGTGCTAAATCCACCTAATATTACACTTTGTAAATGGTGTGATGTGCAAATTTGGTGCAATAAAGCTGTTATTTAAAGAAATAAAATAGAGCTAGTATATCATCCTATATAGGATTGGAGGATAAAATCTGTATCTGTAAAGTTACATATATCTCTGTGTGTGTGTGTGTGTGTGTGTGTATATATACATATATATCTTTGTTACTTTTCTCATTGCTGAGACAAAACACCCAAAACTCAAAATTAGAGGAGGAAATATTTATTTCGGCTCACAGTTTGTAGAGGTTTCAGTCCATAGTTGGCAGGTTCCAAAGCAGGACAGCATAAGCATAAGAGAGGGGCATCGTGGAAAAGATAAAGTCCATGGCATGGCAAGCAGAAGGCAGCAAGCAGCAGGTGGCAGCAGCAAACCTGCCTTCCCTCTCTCCCTTTGTATTCCATCTAAGCTACATGCCTTTTTATTGGTGACACCCACACCCAGGGTGGCTTTCATTATCCTCACCCAGAACTATATGCCAATTCCAATCAGTGGACTAATCTAATACCACACACCCTTAATCCTAGTATCACACACCCTAGGTTCAGACAGCTCTTAAAAGTCCCATTTATGAGTGCATGAGGCTTTAGGGGGATATCTAGATACAAGGCATAACAAAATATATATGAGAAACAAAATCAGGATGTTGAAGAGATAAGTGCACATTGATGTTCATTGCAGGATTATTCATATTAACCAAGGTATAGAATCAGCCTAACCATTTGTCATTGAATCCATTAACAAAGAATGGTGATATGTATATATACAGTGGCACCTCGTCTCATGAACCTCTTTCCACCATTCTGGTAGCAAATCGAGTTGGACAAGAACTGCATCAAATTTCACCATAAGGTCAGCATTGAAACAAAGCCATTGGGTTGGATTTAGTTCTCTTCTAATTCGGTTTGTTTCTGGTGCTTTTTTTTTTCTTTTTTTCTGGTACTGGGAATTAAACTCAAGACCTTGTGCTTGCCAGGCAGGCACAGCTCCACTGAGCTGCATCCCCAGCCCTTCCAATTTGGTTTGTGACCAGAATCGTGGAAAGTATAAAGAATAAAGTTCGTAAACTGAATACCACTGGTTTAGCTTGCAAAACTAAACCGTGTTATTTGTAAGTGTTCATGAGCGATATCATCTTATGTTAAGTGAAATAAACCAGGCACAGCAAGACAAATACTGCATAATCTCACTTGTATGTAGAATTTAACATTTCAAATTCACAGAAAATTGTGCAGGATGATGGTTAGGGGGTAGCAGGTGTGGGTCGATGAGTTCTTGGTAAAAGGATACACAATTTCAAAAAATAGGATGAATAATTTTCAAGGAATCTATCATACAATATGATACTATATTTGATAATATAGTTTATTCTTGACAACTGCAAAAAATATGTTTGCATTATAATACAAATGTTAATTTGATTAATTTAGTCATTCCAGTATGTGTGCATATTTCAAGTCATCATGGGGTACTTGAAAAAGTTTACGCAAATTTTATTTTTCAATGAAAATTAGTATTGTTAATACCATTTATATCATAATGCAAATAAAACTGTTGGTAAAGAGAAAATGGAAATAAAATTAACCTATCTGAAATATAAAGAACACCAAGGACTAATTGTTCCCGTTCCTTGAGGCATAGTTAGAACTGTATGTTTCACTTATTTTCTGAGTCTATTCCTGTAACTAAAACAGGAATTTTGAATGTTTCCATTACATTTTGCATGAAATGGAATAGGATGACTAGACACCCTTGGAATTTGAATATTACTTATGTCTTAAAATACACTTTAGGAACTTCTGACCTTAATGCTTAAAATCTTCATTTCGTTGAATAATTTAGGTTCTTTAAAAGAAATGTAAAATATTTAACATGGAATATGTGGCAACAGTTGCCCTGTAAAATAAGCAGATAATGGTGTGTTTTAATGAAATAAATAGAAATCACCAGTAATGACTTAATTATCAAGGAATAAAAAATTGAGTGTTACTTTTACTTCATTTGGATTTATTTTTTTTATTTACCTCCATCCATCCAGCCTTCTTCTCTGATTTACCAGTATTGCATCCCATTGCTTTATGACTGATCAAGATGGAGCTTGCTTCATTTTTAGAAATGTCTATTTTGGCTGTCAGTAGACAGTGGTCTTTAGCTTTGCATAGCAGAATGCCTTTTCTTATTGCTTCCACTAGGGCACTACTTGCTCTACTGAATACTGATGGGGTTGATGATGAAGGTTGTTTTACACCAGTACTAACTGGAGCTTGTGAAGATTGGCTCAGTGACAGAATTTGAGGGCATGAAATGTAAGAGGATGGAGATTGTGCAGAAGAAAAATTTGATGAAGGCATAGAAGGTCATGTGGGCTTCAGACTTGATGAGCTCTCTTGGGGTGGAATCAAATGTCTTGTTGATTATGCAACTGCAGATCTTCCTGATGGAGCAATTGAAGATCTTGTTGCCTGTACATGTACACTTCTTGATTGGGCAACTGAATGCCTTGGTGACTGGGCACATGAATGCTTTCCTGATGGAACTGAAGATCTTGATGCTTGTGGACCTGAAGATAATGACAGTGGAGCTGAACTTTGTGAAGATTTTTTAGAGTCGAATGTCCTGACAACGGTGCAGTTGATGATTTGGCTAATGGAATTGGATATCTTGATGGTGGTGAAAGGGAAGATCTTGGTGTTGACAGAACTGAAGATCTTGGCAGTTTTGTAACAGAATGCTTTGGTGATTGTGCACATGTTGACCTTGAGGATGGAAAAACTACAGATGCTAGTGACTGTATAACAGGGGCATGGCCAACTCCATCTGTAACTGTGTCTTTCCTTTCAATTCTATGTGACCTTACTGGAGGAGGAGACATAGTTGGACACTGTCCTTTTTCTTCATCCGGTGGAAGCATATCATGTGGAAGCATTTCACCATATTGAACAAATTTAGGTACAGGAGGAGACAAGTCTACATTAGTTGGAGGAATTGGAACACTTGTCTCAGAAGTACTCTGGAGGCATTGAGGATGGGATGCTGCTGGATTTCTCAATACAGTTGATGCAGAACGAGATGGGAAATGGATGGCTGCAGGAGCATCTGCCTTCTTTGGCTGTCTTAGGAGAGCTAACCAATCAGGAGGTAATGGAGGTGGCGAGGGTGGTGCAGTGGGGCTCACAAACACCTCTGTTTTATGATGAATGGGGGGCTGGGGTTCCACTTTTTCCCCCATCCCAATTCCATAATGGGTATATTTCAGTGTATCTTTCAGGTCTTCAGCTCCATCCATTAGCGGATGCAGAGGGCTGGCTAATGCTTTGCCTACAGCTCCAGTTAAAATCTTACTTATTTCACTAAATGAGTGAGTGGGAAGTGAGAAACATTCCACCGGTTGATGCACCCGTGAATGAAAGATCTGTCCACAAGCACCTTGGCTGTGGTCCACTGACACATCATTTTGCATCCTTTCACATGGCGGCATGCTCTCTGGTTCATTGGGATGAGAGAGGTGCTTCTGCCCCTTCAGTTTCTCCTGCTTTTGTTCTTTACTCTAAGCTATAATATTATCTTTACAAATTCCAAAGCTATAAGGACTATCAGAAAAAACTCTTTAAACCTGTATAATGTTGGTAATTAAAAGTAGGTATATTGAGAGGCAATGTTTGCCCACAAGCATCATGTATTTTATACATTTTAAGAGGCAATGGCTGGGAGGAGTATAGCTGCTCTGTTCAAAGAGTAATTTCGGAATCCTCCTTTGATTTTGTGGCTTGTAAATGTGATTCTTCATTTGTACCCTTGTGGGTAATAATATCCATTAACTGGATTACACGTTTCTGTAAAACCATAAATCTCCAAGAGGCATTATCCAACTCTTTGGATATCTGAGCAAGAAGATCATCAGCACAATTATTTAGATTATGTACTTGAATGGCTATGTTATGTAAAGATGTCTGGATTACATGAATTAACTTCTCTTGAGATTCTATTAACTTTACCAGTTTAGTTCGATGATCTTCATCTTCCTCCCCTTTTAATGGCATTCGAGACATCTTTGTTCTTTCAACGTTGAGAGGCTCCGCCACCTTACTGCTTTGTAAGCATCCTCACCTTTCCTTAGACCCCTTGTGGGAATCTATTTCCTTTGAGCCTGGCCAGCAACATCTGACTCTGGCAGAGGCTGCTTTGATTTGAGGATGAGAGCTCTCCCTCTCCAGTTTTACATCAGTAACTAGGCAACGCAGCTGTCTGTCACAATGTTGTGGTTGAGTCAGCAGTGACAGAACAATGCTGCCTGGTCAAGGCCACTCCCCTCTGGCCTACTGCACTGGAGCAGGTTTCACTAAGGTGGGGAGTAGACACTCTGGAGAGGAACAAATAATGATTTTCATCTAACCTCTCATTTAGTGTGTCTGGTTAGAGAACAAACTACATTATGTGATTCCCTAACTTAAATGACCTTAAATACTATCAATGGCTTCTTTTATCCTAGGATTATTGTCCAGTTGTGATGTTACTTCTGAGCTTCATTTGTACATCACACAACCATCTCATCTCAAACTTGTACTTATTTTTGTCATCTTCTCCAATATGCTTCTTTGCCTTGTGTCCTTTATCTTTTGAGTAAGGTGGTTCCATCAATTCACATGTTCATGCCCCAATCCAGAAGTTACCTTTGTCTTTGACACCCTTCCCTCTGCCCCGCTCCCAGCCACTGAGGCTGGTCAATTGTACCCCAAAATATACTACAACCTGTG